AAGTCGGATTTGAATGTAAGCTTGTTATACAGTTGTAAGGCCAACATTGAACTCGGGAAAAAATGATGAGCTATTATGCTTCAAGCACTGTTAAAGTGTTGGTTACTATAGGTATTTGGCAGGGTTTTCAGCCCAGACTTTTGTCTTCCATGATCGTTTAAGAACTGTTTGCAACCCTAAGATTTAAAACAATTTTTTCTTTCAATTTGACCTACATCAATCAAACAGCTATAGTTTTCCAAAAGCTGTCCTTTAAAACAAGAGTTGTGTTAGATTAGTTTTTTTCCCTCTTCTTTCTCACTGTTTGGGTAAGTTCTTTTGTGTTTTACTCTTTTTTTTTTTTTTTTTTTTTTTTTTTTTTATGCTATAATAGCTAGAAAGAAATTATTCTCTACTCTATGTACTCTTCAATCTTATTCTTCCAAATCTGTAGAAAGAGTTTTTCCTGCATGTAAGGTTGGATTGAATGACAAGGCAGGAGACTAGATTTGGTCTTGTGAAGCTTAGTGACTCTTTGTGTGGTTTCTAATGAAAGGATTGAGGCAAAGGAGATACCATTTATTAAAATGGTTTTCCGTTATCTCTAAATTTTACATGTATCATTCTGAGTACATTACTAGCTTTTGACAAGAGTTGAGGTTTTTTTTTGTTTTTTTTTCAGGTTCAACTGTCTGATTTCTTGCTCTAGCTCCAGTTTTCTTTCTCCCCCCGCCGACTAGATATTTATTTTATTAACATTGGTTAAAATATAATTATTAGCCTTTGATCCTTTATCTGGTGATGTTACAATGAACAAAGAGTAAAATAACTCTTTAAATTAAAAAGCCATAACCACAAGTTCTTTTTTTTTTGATGACCAACAATATACTTTATTAGAGGATTATTAGTGACTTGCAAACCATTTACTATTTCTATACTAAACAAGAGAAATTATAGTGTATGATTCAGTGCAGCAGGTTAAAAACATCTCATAAAGACTTCAGACCAAGATTTACCTATGTATTTTTAACTTCACTGTGTATCTGTCCTGTTTCTTCAAATTTTCCTCAATTTTCATAGCCTATACATTTATATCAGCTAATACAGTACCTAACAATATAAAATTATGTTTAATTCCATAATATCTTAATTTTGCTATATTAAAAATGACAAATTACTACGTGCCCAATTCCTCTATTAGCTAGCAGGCTCATCAGAACAAAGCTGGGCATTTTCATTCCATCAGCTATGTTAAGTACAGAACCAGGAAGGAGAGAGATCAATTCCTTTTCCAAGTTCTATCTAACTGAACATAACTACACTTTCTAAAGTAGCATAATGCCTTTTTAAAAAAAAAAAGAAAGATGACAGATTGTATACAAATTATACCTCAGGGAAAGTCATATCTACCTTTTACTATTTACCTGGAAAAGTGAAAAACAATTCTTCAATTGCCTAATATCCTCTTTAAGCTGTAGTCCAAATTCAAAAGAATGGCTTTAATTCTCTAGATTTAAGATTTTTTTTTCTCAGTTTTATATATGTATGGGCAAGAGGAGCGGAGAAAAGCTAGCTATCTAAAAGTGCATTTTTACAAGCAAGACACAGTGGTGGACCAGAGCATAGTTCCTAAAGGGTTATTTGTACCCGTTTTTAATGGGTTACTGGGTTTTCCTCCCACGCCACTCATTTGCAGTGTACTCTCAGGTGATTCTTGAGGACTAACCTGAGAAATAAGAATAATACAGTAGCATCTTCCCCTCAAGGACATTTATGAGAATTCCTGGAAATGGTAGGTAAAAATTATGATGGTTTAAAACAGTCTCACTCAAAGCAGTTATCTAAACCCTTGCCATTTATAGAAAGTGGATTATTTTGGGCAAAATGCCAAAATTACATTAGACTTGGAATTTTTTTTACAATATATTTATTTTTACATATAATGTGCCTTAAGTGCACAGGTAAATTCCAAGTATTTAATAAATACTTGTGGATTTTAAATAAACTCGGTAACTTTGAGTTTAACACAGTTCCACAATAGGCTCAGAATAGAAGCTACAGGTATTTCATGTAAATCTAATTTTGGAGAACGAAGTTCAAAAGATTTCTCTGTTTCTTAGAAAAACCTTTCTTTTCTAAGGTAAGAAAGCCATTTCTCATGTTTGTATATTCACAAAGCTGGTGAGCTGGGTAATGGGACACACCTGTAATCCTAGCATGTGGGAGATTAAGGCAGGAAGATTGTGACTTTGAGGCCAACCTGAAGCATAAGGCTGGCCTGGACTAAAGAGCAAAACTGTCCCCAAAAAACAAATGGAAGATGTGTGATAAGGTAAAAATAACTATACATCTGATTTACTTACATGGATAAGCAATATGTAACTATTCAGGAGAGAGTTATAAACTACCTGTATAAGTAACTATTTTATTTAGCTCTTGAACTTATCTCCTCTTCCACTCTAAAGGAATAATCAGGAAGTAATATTACATAGTAATATTAATATTCCTTAGTAACATATTACTTTTATAGTCCTGATACATTTGAGGAATAGTTACTAGAATTAAGTATACATAGATCTCTGGTCTTAAAAGTATTTATTGCTTTATAATGGTAAACAGCAAGAGTATAAATAGGAGCATTTTAGTATTCTCTACACTTCTAATCTGTGCTTTAGATATCTGCCTTTCAGAAGATATGTCGGGGCTTAATTCAAGGAGTAAAAACAGTGAAACTAAGAGTTTAACGGAATCTTTTGACTAAAAGTCATCACCTTTATCATTTTTGAAATGTCTGTCAAAAAGCGTTTCTCTAGCTGGTTGCAGTCTTCCCTGTTTCATGGCTGGATGTAGACACAAGGTCACTGTCTTACTTATCACTCAAATACTGTTTCATTTAATCCTAGAATTTTTATTTTCAGAGAAGCTACACAGTGCCATTGTTTTAAAGCTGAAAAGAAAGGTCAATGCCCTATCAAAACTCATTTCTGTTAAAAGTGTACTTAGTAAGGCATTATTTTAGAGCATGCTGTATATATTTGGCCACCTATAATTTATCTTTTAAAATAGAATTGCTTTTTAAAAGATTTTTAAGGATACTATGAGTTGAGATGATTGTTTTACTGTGAAACTAGGTTTTACAACATTTGGACAAAAAATTAAAACACTTAAACACCTGCCTAGAGTGCTGCTTACTTTTAGAATGTACTACTCCCCATAGCTATCCTGTTAATGCAGGCGTCAGATGCCGAGGTGCTGTAGCGAGCGGTTCCACAGAGGAGTTTGCTTTGCCCTGCTTTGGTAGATGGTGGGAACGAACCCACTGCAGGCTGTGTGACACGCTGGGTGGTATCTAAGAGGGGTCCTGCTAGCAGTTTGAACAATGTGGAAATACTTGAAGGAAGGCCCTGGTGATCAGGGCCTGAAGTGGCCCAGGGACTTTCAGAGAAGACACTAAGAGCTTAATTTGGGGGCTGTGGGAAAGACTGGCCTGAGTGGATGGATGACTGGTAGCTCCAGAGCCACCTCAATATCGCTTTTGTTTGACGCTTGTTGTTGAAGCTGTAGTCTGCTTTACTCTTTCTCAGAAGTGTCTGTACCATCCACCATCTCCTGTTGGCTTTAGAAGCAACCATACTAATTTAGGCCTTTACCACCACTTGCAGAATATTTCTAAAGCATCTTCTGGAGTGACGTTCAATGCCATTCCCCACAGTCCTCTCCCACCCCAATCTCCTCTCTCCATCTGCTTTACACACCACTGAAAGAACTGCCTCCCCTCTACCAAACACCTCTTTCAGCAGCTCATTTATTCTAAAAATTGGGAGAGCCTTCAGTTGTTTACCACATTAGAGGCAAGACTCAAAGACCAGCAGCAGTGAGCAAGTAAGGGGGGATAAGGCAGAGTTATTCCCCAGGGTGATAAATCTCTGAGCAGACAGCCAGAGGTGTGAAAGTTATAGTCCTCTTTAGCCTATGGCAGATGGAAACTAAAAACAGTGACAAATTTTAAGGACAAGAAAAGCTTATCTGAGGCAGGAATTGCAGGTCCAATTTCCATCCTTGGTGTATGTTTCCCGTGGGAGACAAGTCTACCACACAGACCTATTCACCACCTACATGCTCACCACTCCATGCTTTTTCCCAGGGTGCTCTTTCTCCCTGGAGTTCATCTTTTTCTAATCTGCTCCTTAAGACCACCTTTTTCCATAAACCCTTTGACTTTTTTAGTATCTTTCTAATACATACTCTCCTCTCCCTTTTGAGAATTCTTACTGCACTTCCCAGTAGTACTGATCGTAGTACCTAATCATTCTCAAGTTTTCCCCAACTACAATGTGCACTCTGGCATGAAGGATTAGACCCCACATTCTCGTATCTCTCATTGCACATGTGTGTGGAGGACAAAGTAGGACAAGAAAAGTAGCAAGGCACAAAAGGATGATTGAGCCTGGGATCTGGTCCCAGCTTAGTTATTAATTGAACACAAGGACTGGGGTAGAAGGGTGGACATCAGTGATACTATTTCTAAGACCTCTTCTGCTTTAGGAATTCTGTGACTCTAATGACAGATCATTGACTTAATAGAATATGGGGAGGGCTATTGGGGAGTGAAAAAAGACTATAAATTAACTCTGAGGTTATGAGCCTGGAGAACCAAGAAGGTGGGGGAGTTGGTTGCATGCTTGCCAGTTAAGATAGTTTGCTGTCTATAAGAGTTTCTAATCTAAGGGATCCTTCAGGCAGCAGTAAGTAGTAGGCTTTTGTGAGATGCAAGTTTAGGAATGGGCCACATTATTTCCATACAGAGAGGGGCTCCCTGGGCTCCTGGGAGCTACTAGCTTATCTTAGTTCCTTGAAAAGAAAATCTTGTTACTATCTGTTTTCTTCTTTGTGAGGAGCCTTTTGATCTGTGTCTTGTACTCTTAGTAAATACTTTGAAGATAATACACAGTATAATAACTATTATTGTCTTATTGTTCTATTAAATTTATTTTTTCATAAAAAAAGTGTCCATTGCAATGTTTTCTTCAAGATGTGTCCATCTTATGTATCCATAATTATGTTATTAACAATGTTAGATCTTGATTTCATATTCAGATTGTCTTTTAAAGAAGTAGTCTTTCCTATTTTTCCTCTTTAGTTTATTATAATCCTGATTAATAAACTCTTAAGTCTGCTAAGAAGTTATGCAAAGTAGCTGGAAATAGTAGGTGATGTGCTCTGGTCGAGGGGAGGGATCTGTGGGTGCCTCTTTTTATTTGGGGTAGAGGTGAGACCAGAATTCACTGTTTGTTGGATTAGCATGTTAGGGTATGAAAAATAGTTTACAGGCTAATGTGTTTCTGTTGAACACTACTCAAATCTAATTTCCCATAAGTTTCTGCTAGCACTTTAGAAAGAAAGCATCTCCATAGAAAAACATATTGGTAATCTTGGATCCAGGGCATGATGTTGGAGACTATGGCTAATATTTACAATCACAGCTTTTCTTTCAAATTCACAATTCTCTGACAAAATATTGACAGTATAAAGAGGACAAAGCTCATAATAAAGCAGAAACATTGCTCTACAAACTATATTTTCCCAGAAAAAAATCTTGTGAGAAAAATGACAAATGCAAGTGAAAGCTAATCTTCAGTAAAAAGTGAGAAAACAGAAAAGTACACATAATTCCTGATTGTTTTATGTTCTAGCATCCAGCTGGGATTTTTCAGAGTTCCTTTAGTTATCTCTTTCATCTCCCCTCCCTATTTTAATATGTCAGGAAATTAAGCAAGACATATTTTTTGTAAAACTGAGTTTGTATATTGATTGATATTTTTTGCAGATTGGGTCAGTCATTTTTAAAAACATGATTATGCTGCCAAAATACACATCTTGGTTATATGGTTCAAAGAAGTGTTAACAGTTCATCAAGGCATCTTAATATAACAAACTGCAACAGTAATCATATGATGAAGAGAGATTCTCACATATTAATACATAGATTTAAAGTTTAAATATTTACTCCTGTGTCACAAAAGTAAGATTTACCTGTTTCTTATCTTTCTTTTAATAGAATTTAATTCCTTTCCGACCTTCGATTCAGTTCCAAGGGCTCCAGGGGGTAAGTACTGTCTAGTATTCTTCCCATACATCACAAAACTTTTAAAATTTGATTTCACTTCGACCTTAATATAATCAGTCACTCATACATGTGTGTACTTTGAGACTGATTTATGACACCTTTTGTCAAAATTCTTGAATTATCTTAATTTAAAAATAAATAATTCACAGTTATGTTTTCAGTATGTTTTTCTCTAAATCATGGATAATTGAATATTTGAAATTTTTAGTTGAAGGTTCAAACATCAAAGCATTGTGTGAATGTTTTATTTGCTACAACTAAACAAAGAATTACTAATTTCAAGCAAGTTATGATTATGTGATTGTTGTTTACTGTCTGTTCACTTAATTTTTTTAATTGTATAGACTGAAATGCAAGAGTAATAGCAATTAAGCTTTTCTAGGATATCAAATAAAGTTTTCCATGTCCATATTATTGCTGTATTAAAGAACAAGATGTACTGTGGGTGTAGCTCAGTGGTAGAGCAAGCATGTGCTTAGCATGTAAGAGGCCCTGGGTTTAATCCCCAGCATACATATCAAAATTGTATGTGTGAACTTATTAAAATCTATTGTATTTACAATAGATGATAATCTGTACAGGAGTAGTGTCAGTATTGTTCAATTATTAATATTTAATATTAGACTTTTTTGCTTCCTTGTTTAAATTAGTATGCATTTCTATACCTATATGCTAACTAGAGATTTAGTATACTTGTAAATGGGTTTTAGAACTATAGAGAAAAGGCGGTATGTTCTTGATTATTGTAAATCTACATGTTTGTGAATTTCTATGTCACAAAATTTAAAAACATCAATATAAATGAATGTAATCTTTCTAAACTTTGTAACTTGAATACATTTCAAGAGTCAGATTAATTGCATCGCTCACCATGGACTGTGAATACAGTACTTCTAAATCTGTTGTGTAGTGCTGACTTGAAGGAGATGTTTGTGTGGATGTCAGGGCTTTGCTTCTACATGACAGCTTTACAATGAAGTCCTTTTTTCCGCTCTCAGTAACTGAGTGCTCATGAATGGGATCCTAATTAGACAAGTGTTCTGAATTTCGTTGTACAGCTTCTTAGGTAGTCTTTAGTGCGTGCCGAATCTTTATTTGAGGAGTTAATTCAGTTGTTTATTTAAGCCTTCTGGAGATTCCCTGCGTGTTTTAATGGTGTCAGTAATATCTGAAGAAATGTTCAAGAGGCAAGCCTGTGCTGTTAAGCCTACGAGGGGCCCCTTCCTAAGGGGCATTTTGTGGGGCAATCTAAGAGTTCAGGGAGGAAACTAAGGATTGAACCTGAGTTTCTCTCACTAGGAGTTGCAGAGCTATCACCGTGTTCCTTAATTCTCTCTTTAGTCTGGGACATCCAAGCAAGGGAAATCAATGCAAGTAAAGGACATTTTTTTTAGGCAGCACCAAGTTAGTCTGAAGGACTGGTAAGGAACTATGTGCAGGTTTCTAAACCCTTGATTCAAACATTTGCGGATTTTAGCAGTCTCAGAAGAAGCATGGTTTTCCCTGGCACCATTACAAACCAGGCAGTTTATATTTCAGATCTTGTGACTCTACCTGTATTCTGAATTTCCACCTGTATCTCTCTACAGCTTGCCTGTACTCCTGTGTTCAAAGTCACCCCATTCGTGTTTGCCTACACTACTGTTCTCACTCTATCCCTTACCTGAATATAGTCTGCTGTTAAAGATAATTTCCTTATAAAGGACTGATAGTGTTAACCCTTAGTGGGTGTTTGAATTTTTGATAAGCATTTAGCCCAAATGAATGGTGATTGGGTTCAGTACAGTAGCTGTGTGCAGACTGACAGCTATAGGATGCTTGACCCTACCTTGCTTATTCTGGGTCTGACTCTTAACCCCCAACTCTTTTTATTATTCTAACTGGGAACAAAATATATGGACTCAGCATTGTTTTAGAGCTTGCAGCTGCACTCCATCTGCCCTTCCCCTTCTCTTTGCAGAGCTCTCCCCACCCCTCTTGGACTCAGTAAAAACAAAGAATCCATACAGGGGAGAGAGTGGGTTGGCACAGCCCACAGGGAGTATGCACAGCCATAAATGTAGGGGTCTTCTATACAGTGTGCCTCTGTTTTTCTCAAGAGCCATGGTAAGTTCGACATTGCCCTTGCAGATTGCTTTGGAAACCTTGAAGTCTGCTTATAGACTTTTCCTGTATGGAAATGTGCAAGGCTTTAAATTGGAAGGTTTAAGTTTAGATTTCCCACAAAGGATAGATACTTCTCCTTAGTGAAAAATGTTGGCTTTCTACATCAAACATGATTGAAAATGTACCTTTACTATCACAACAGTGTCCTATATAGGCATATTTGAAGCATAACTGAAGCATTGTTAAAATATCCTTTTAAAAGTGAGTGTGTTGTGTTCATATTGTGTCCTGTTTCCAAGATGAGAATTATGCTAAGCACCACATGGTTATGCAGTTTCTTGTTACTAATTATAGGACTTTTTTTTTTTCCTTCAGTGGTGTCTTCAGAAGTCCAGAATTTGGGTCTTGGCAAGTTAGCTTTTAAGCAGATTTACTTTTCTGCTTGATATGTTCCCTTAGTTTGAAGCTAATGTCTAAATAAATCAGACTGAAACATTAAAATATAGCATTATACTATTAAAGAATTATAATCAGTGAATTTTTATCATTATAGTTGAGCAGCAGCTTTCATAAAATAAAAATAAAAATAAAAAGTACGTCTTTCACAGTTCATTCCATCTCTTTCCCTTAGTGGAAGAGGGCACTTAGGAAATTGAATGGTCACTGAAGACATTTTTCAGATTCAGAAAAATAAAATGTCTATGGGAGTACTTGATTCTGATTACTCATGAATGTCAGGGGCTGAATCCATCATCTAAAAATGCCTTGTTGATTCTGAAGAGTGAGTCAACTGATTATTTTCACAGTTCTAATCCATAGCTGGAATACTTACTCATAACTAAAGGTTTACGAAGATTGTAAATATCTATCTATAAGCCAGCATGTCTGAACAGAAAAGATAGCTGGTAAGATTCACATGGGTGAACACTGTCAAGAACATTGAGGTGTTCTTTGAGGTACAACATTCAGAGGGATGTGTTGCACCCAGTTTCCAGAAGCTGCATCTCTCTTGTTAAGTACACTTTATAAAAACGGGATAGTCTCTATATTTTGCTCAAATATTGAAGATGTGGCAGGGGATATTTGCCAAAAATGTGTGTGCCTGTGAATTTTTAAAAACTAAATTCTGGATTTTTAAGCCTATTGAAAGTTTCTTATCTAGAGACACAGTTGAAGTCAGAGCTATAACTACAGTGAAAAGTTCTTTCCACTACACTGTACATCTTTAAGAGAGTTGGAAGCAAGTTAACTCAATATTTTTACATAATGACATTCGTTACTGATGTAGTTATCAACAATATACCTATCTAAACAATAAACTATAATAAATACATTCCTAATCAATAAATATCATACTAGATTAGTTTATTGTTCTAATTATTTCTTTTCACTGCCCAAACATTTTCTCAGCTCATGTTGTAGGCAAATTAAGTGCTTAGTATGAAATGATGGATAGATACAACCTTTATCCTTAGGAAATTCAATCTGAAAAAATACAGGACTAATACTTAGGAAAAAAATTAATATGAAAGATTTAGTTAGAACCTTCTTTTCTTTTAGAGCTTCTATAGAAACAAGAGATAAGAATCAGGCACATGTGTATTTCTGGTATGAAGCAGTGTTTTTGAAAGGTTTTAGTAGAGGCAGAATATCATATCTTGACAATTGGTATATAAAATTCCAAAGACCTATTAAGAACTGTGCACATTGCACACACACACGCACACACGCACACACACACACACACGCACACACATCTGTGGCATGACTGAGATGAAATCTGAAATAGCACGGTTTTCAGCAATGAATAATGCCCACATCTGCTGGCATGTAGAACCCTTGCACAGCTGATTTTCCCAGAGCCTCTGGGGCTGATGTCTAGAGCCGATTGATTGCCTGGGACAATTGTCGTATTATGGGATTCCAGACTCTATATTAGTTTACTATTAGATAAAAGAATGTTATTCACAAATTCTAACTTAATTGCTTACCTTCTGATTCAGTAATCCAAGAAGCTTTAGAACAGTTTTACATACATAATTTTTAGAATTTTTAAAGAAAATATAAAATGTTTTCCGTAAGTAGTAATGCATTTTCTAAACGGAGTGAGACACTGAGTCACATACACTTTTTCAAGAATGAACAAGGAATAGCCACCCAAATAAGTTCTAAATGTGTGCCATCCAGAAAGGCATGGTGACCTTCTGAAGATTAAATGACATTTAACTGGTAACTTTAAAGGCTTGAATAGTGCTATAAAACTCTTGTAGTAAAGTCATTAAATTCCAAAGAAGACAAGGTTGGATGTTTCTTTTCTTATTTTTTTTTTAACCTCTAAAGTTAGCACAGCACTCAGAAATACTTTGTTAATTATTTATTTTACTTTGTAGAGGCTAAGGAGAAGATTGAGTCTAGAAAACTAAATTATATGGTATTTGAAATTAGTAGGCAATTTCAGCCCACCTTGAAAATGCTTCCCGCAGACTGTCCTCCCCTACCCCGCTTGGTCCCTGGGTAGCAAAGATAACTATGGGCTTCAAACAAGCAGCAAAGACAAAAATAAACCCCCAGTGCTGCCATCCTTCCTAGATGATATGCCTCCCCTCTGACTTCGTTGCCTGCCGCCTCGCGTTTCGCTAGCCCGCTGGTTTTGCCAACAGTTATGTTTAGTCAGTCTGCCCCAAAGGTTGCTGACTAACCTTTATACTCTTGGTTCTGTATGTAATTAATACTAGAAGGATGTTAAAATTACAACCTTTTGTAATAGCAGCTCTGTTTTAATTTTTTTTAATATTATAGTATTTCACACAGATAGATAGCATTAATTTTAATATTTACATTGAATTTCAACTCTTTAACCACATATTATTTTA